TAGATCATGTTTTTGTGTTGTTGAGTCCGATGTATGGTCTCTCTTGCTGGAAGGTGTGTTTTGTGTTTAGTCCGATGTATGGTCTCTCTTGCTGGAAGGTGTGTTTTGTGTTTAGTCTATGTATGGTCTCTCTTGCTGGAAGGTGTGTTTTGTGTTTAGTCCGATGTATGGTCTCTCTTGCTGGAAGGTGTGTTTGTGTTTAGTCCGATGTATGGTCTCTTGCTGGAAGGTGTGTTTGTGTTTAGTCCGATCTGTGGTCTCTTGCTGGAAATTTATGTTTTGTGTTTGGTCCGATGTATGGTCTCTCTTGCTGGAAGGTGTGTTTTGTGTTTAGTTCGATGTATGGTCTCTTGCTGGAAGGTGTGGTTGTGTTTAGTCCGATGTGTGAGCCTCTCTCTTGCTGGAAGGTGTGTTTTGTGTTTAAAGATCCGATGTATGGTCTCTCTTGCTGGAAGGTTCGTTTTGTGTTTGACCCGATCTTGTAAGCTCTCTTGCTGGAAGGTGCGTTTTGTGTTGAGATCCGATGTATGGTCTCTCTTGCTGGAAGAGGTGCGTTTTGTGTTTAGTCCGATGTGTGGTCTCTTGCTGGAAGGTGTGTTTTGTGTTTAGTCCTGATGTATATGGCCTCTCTTGCTGGAAGGTGTGTTTGTTTAGTCCGATGTATAGCCTCTCTTGTTGGAAGGTGTGTGTTTTATTGTTTAGTCCGATGTGTGGTCTCTCTTGCTTAAAAGGTGCTGGTTATGTTTAGTACGATGTATGGTCTCTCTTGCTGGAAGGTGTGTTTTTGTGTTTAGTCCGATGTGTGGTCTCTCTCTTGCTGGAAGGTGTGTTTTGTGTTTTGAGTCTGATGTATGGCCTCTCTTGCTGGAAGGTGTGTTTTGTTCCAATTCGTGTACTCTTGTTGGAAGGTGTGTTTTGTGTTTAGTCCGATGTATGGTCTCTCTTGCTTAAAGGTGTGGTTATGTTTAGTACGATGTATGGTCTCTCTTGCTTAAAGGTGTGTTTTGTGTTTAGTCCGATGTGTGGTCTCTCTTGCTATAAGGTGTGTTTTGTGTTTAGTCCGATGTATGGTCTCTCTTGCTTAAAGGTGTGGTTATGTTTAGTACGATGTATGGTCTCTCTTGCTTAAAGGTGTGTTTTGTGTTTAGTCCGATGTATGGCCTCTCTTGCTGGAAGGTGTGGTTGTGTTTAGTGATGTATGGTCTCTCTTGCTGGAAGGTGTGTTTTGTGTTTAGTCCGATGTGTGTGGTCTCTCTTGCTGGAAGGTGTGTTTGTGTTGGAGTCCGATGTATGGTGTCTCTCTTGCTGGAAGGTGTGTTTGTGTTAGTCGATGTATGGCCTCTCTTGCTGGAAGGTGTGGTTGTGGTTAGTGTGATGTATGGTCTGTCTTGCTGGAAGGTGTGTTTGTGTTTAGTCCGATGTGTGGTCTCTCTTGCTGGAAGATTGTGGTTGTGGATTAGTCCTGATGTATGGCCCTCTCTTGCTGGAAGGTGTGTTTGTGTTTAGTCCGATGTATGGTCTCTCTTGCTGAAGAAAGGTGTGTTTGTGTGTAGGAATGATGTGGCTGGTCTCTCTCTTGCTGGAAGGGTGTGTTTTTGTGTTTAGTCCTGATGTATGGTCTCTCTCTTGCTGGAAGGTTATGGTTGTGTCATTTAGTCCGATGTATGTGGTCTCTTGCTGGAAGGTGTGTTTTGTGTGTAGACCGATGTATGGCCTCTTGCTGGAAAGGTGTGGTTTGTGTTTAGTCCGATGTATGGTCTCTCTCTCTTGCTGGAAGGTGTGTTTTGTGTTTGAATCCAGATGTGTGGTCTCCCTTGCTGAAAGGGTGCTGTTTTGTGTTTAGTCCAGTGTGTTTGTCTCTCTCTTGCTGGAAGGTGTGTTTTGTGTTTTAGTCCGATGTGTGACCTCTCTTGCTGGAAGGTGTGTTTGTGTGTGTAGTCCGATGTATGGTCTCTCTTGCTGGAAGTAATGTGTTTGTGTTTAGTCCGATGTATAGCCTCTCTCTTGCTGGAAGAAGGTGTGTTTTGTCAATGTAGACCGATGTGTGGTCTCTCTCTTGCTGGAAAGGTGTGTTTTGTGTTTTAGTCCGATGTCTGGTCTCTCTTGCTGGAAGGTGTGTTTTGTGTTTAGTCCGATGTGGTCTCTGGAGAAGAGTTTGGGAACGTGCAGTCCGACGTATGGTCTCCTTGATGGAAGGTGTGTTTTGTGTTTAGTCCACGTGTATGGTCTCTCTCTTGCTGGAAGGTTGCGTTTTGTGTTTAGTCCGACGTATGAAGTCTCTCTTTACGGAAGGTGTGTTTTTGTGTTTAGAGATCCGATGTATGAGGTCTCTCTCTTGTTGGAAGACATGTTTTGTGTTTAGTCCCTATGTATGGTCTCTCTTGCTGGAAAGGTGTGTTTGTGTGATTAGTCCTGATGTATGGTCTCTTGCTGGAAGGTGTGTTTTGTGTTTAGTCCGATGTATGGTCTCTCTTGCTGGAAGGTGTGTTTTGTGTTTAGTCCGATGTATGGTCTCTCTTGCTGGAAGGTGTGTTTTGTGTTTAGTCCGATGTGTGGTCTCTCTGCTGGAAGGTGTGTTTTGTGTTTAGTCCGGATGTGTGGTCTCTCTTGCTGGAAGGTGTGTGTTTGTGTTTAGTCCGATGTATGGTCTCTCTTGCTGGAAGGTGTGTTTTGTGTTTAGTCCGATGTATGGTCTCTCTTGCTGGAAGGTGTGTTTTGTGTTTAGTCCGATGTATGGTCTCTCCTGCTGGAAGGTGTGTTTTGTGGTTTAGTCCGATGTATGGTCTCTCTTGCTGGAAGGTGTGTTTTGTGTTTAGTCCGATGTATGGTCTCTCTTGCTGGAAGGTGTGTTTTGTGTTTAGTCCGATGTATGGTCTCTCTTGCTGGAAGGTGTGTTTTGTGTTTAGTCCGATGTATGGTCTCTCTTGCTGGAAGGTGTGTTTTTTGTGTTTAGTCCGATGTATGGTCTCTCTTGCTGGAAGGTGTGTTTTGTGTTTAGTCTGATGTATGGTCTCTCTTGCTGGAAGGTGTGTTTGTGTTTAGTCCGATGTATGGCCTCTCTTGTTGGAAGGTGTGTTTTGTGTTTAGTCCGATGTGTGGTCTCTCTCTTGCTGGAAGGTGTGTTTTGTGTTTAGTCCGATGTATGGTCTCTCTTGCTGGAAGGTGTGTTTTGTGTTTAGTCCGATGTATGGCCTCTCTTGCTGGAAGGTGCGTTTTGTGTTTAGTCTGATGTATGGTCTCTCTCCTTGCTGGAAGGTGCGTTTTGTGTTTAGTCCGATGTATGGTCTCTTGCTGGAAGGTGCGTTTTGTGTTTAGTCCGATGTATGGTCTCTCTTGCTGGAAGGTGTGTTTTGTGTTTAGTCCGATGTATGGTCTCTTTGCTGGAAGGTGCGTTTTGTGTTTAGTCCGATGTATGGTCTCTCTTGCTGGAAGGTGTGTTTTGTGTGTTTTCACGCTGCTCGCAGTATTAATACAACTGTATGTCAGTGATCTGTATAAATAACTGAATCTTTGCGAAAACAATCCAGTGGTTGACGTCTTGACCATCGATCTACGCAGTCGGGTTACGATGACCTGCATCGGCCAACAAGTTCTGTGCATTCCACTAGGGCTGGGACGGGCACTGGGTACTCGAATCCCGGTCGGGCACAGCTGGAATCGAAGTCCTATTTCTGGGAATCGAGAGTACCCGGAAATGGAGAGAATTCTGTAATGGCAAGGGCAGATAGTAACTTGTTCTTTTTCATTATTGACGTAACACACATTTACATCGTTGGTGTTGTCCGATTAATGGAGGTTATTATTACTGACTGTAATTTA